GGGCCCAAAAAAGGGGGTTGGTCGCTTCTGCGGTGCCTCGGTTATAGCGAGAAGGGGCCTTGTCCCCGTTATCTGAAAATGTCATCGTCTTGTCTACCGTCCGCGTACGTTCCTCCGGGGGAGGTGGCTTGCAACGCATTAATAACTCAAAAGGGCAAATTCTCCCGAAATTATGTGCAAATGTGGCCAGAGGGTACAAAAGGCCATCGCCCTCGGTCTGCGCGGGACACGGCAGCACTAAAAATCCGCTGGTTCCTCGGTGCAGGAGCCTTCAGGGTGATGTTGGGGGCTCCTGTTCTATGTCGGGGATTAGAGGTTGTAGTTTTCAAAAGCATCGAAGTGACATCGGAGCCAAAGCCCCAGCGAACCTCAGCACTGTGTGCGCTGTAGGAAAGGGACACAGGTTTCACTGGTAGCGTTTCCAAAAGTGGCTCTGGTCATAGCAGAATAACCACTCCCACTTCTAGCTGAAAAGTGCTGTTTATTGTCATTTTGTTCTATGTCGGGGATTAGAGGTTGTAGTTTTCAAAAGCATCGAAGTGACATCGGAGCCAAAGCCCCAGCGAACCTCAGCACTGTGTGCGCTGTAGGAAAGGGACACAGGTTTCACTGGTAGCGTTTCCAAAAGTGGCTCTGGTCATAGCAGAATAACCACTCCCACTTCTAGCTGAAAAGTGCTGTTTATTGTCATTTTTTTAGGCATTATAACTTCTAATGTGGTTGCTTGCACATTGATTTGAGTTTACTCACTGTAGGTTGTTTTCGGCAGACAGGTAAATTGGTTTAAACGAGGCTTAGAAGTGTCCACTTCAGGGTCATGCACCAGCTCACCTCGCTCTGTTTGTACTCCAGTGCAGCTTCCCTGGGTTGACCACCAGTGAACTGGAGCACAAGCCAACAAGCCTTGTTCTCCACAGTCACTTAGGTACTTTCCACTCCCATTTGCCATGTTAGTACAATTACTCCAACTCATCTCTTGGACACAGAAATATAATTTATCCTTTCTCTTCCTCTTCTTCTTTCTTCCTATCACATCAGCTTCAAGTTTTTCCATGGGAATTTATGCAACAGTTATCTGTTGGCTCTTCTTATTTGTCTTTCCACATTTCCTTCTTTTTTTTTTTCCCCCTGTATTTTTATGTGCAAAATTAAAATTATATTCTGAGCAAGATTGTCATTTTTATGCTTAATGTGCAAGTTGTCATTCCTTTCACTGTTTTTGTGAGGTTGAACTGGTATCACTTGCAAATCATCCAGTCTGTGGAGTGCTACGAAGAGGCGATCAGAAATTCACAGTTCACCATACATTTAACACTGTTAATTTGCGTTGAAAGTACAAAGTGGAGCAAAGCTAAGAATAGAAGGTATAATTATTATTATTATAAATAGCTTGCTGCAAGAGTAGGGATGGTTTTAGTGCCTTGTGCTTGCCTGATTTGAGGTCTGGCCTTTGAAATGTGCACTATTAACATTCTACTCGTTGTCTTTTTAACTGCGATAAGCAGTTAAATGACAATGCTGTGGGTAGTTACTTAGTTGCGTTCAAGATTTAATGTGTTTCTCCTGTTTTTGATATAAGCAAAGTTCTTCTTGGGTATTGAAACATTTTATGAAACAGTAAGAAAAGCGTCAAGGATTGTTGGCTCTGTTGTTGAGTCTTGTTCTGGGAGCTAGAGATAGAGTGAAAAGGAAGAAGAGGAGAATGTTAACTGAGTACGGTAATACAGAAAAATAAACCTTGGAAATTAAGGAGCTTCTGAGTGCAGGAAGTGTGTGGCTGAAGACAATTCAGGTTTTTGTAGGGAACAGGAGGAGAACTGTCTGGAGTCCGAGGTTGCTACCACATGAACTCTTGTGACTTGCGGTTAAGCGCAGTTGGCAGAAACTGAGGAATACAGACCCCTCTGCTGCTGCCATTTGACATCCGGCTGGTGAGCGCATGACAGAATTGATTGTGGTCTTGGCTCACGTTAGGAAACATTAAGGGTTTTTTCCGTCCAGCAGCAGTAGACTCCAGCAAAGGAACAAGGTGAACAAATTGAGGCGTTGCCCTCTCAGTCCGGCAAGTGTCATAAATAGGCAGAGCTGGCATGGAGGTACTCTGAATACTTACACTAACAAGACTTAATTGTCTCTCCTAACTGAAGTGACAGTAGTCTACAGCTTGGAGTAGAGGGCTCTGATTGCTCATGCTAGGGCCTCCGTGAGGTTTGAGTAGCCATGTTATGCAGCGTAGTGACAACCTTGCAGGCCTGGTTGCTTGTACAAACCCTCAGACAACTTTTCCATAATGGAATTGTAAGTCAGGATACACATTGCTTTATCTCACTATGGTGTCTGATAGATACACGGTCCACGTTCAGATTTTTATCCAACTTATCTCAGATAGAAAGGTAGTTATTAAAATGATTTTTTTTTTTTTTTAAAGGTGACAATGCTGCTATTGTTATCTGAGTTCTCCCTGTGAGAACTTAAAGGCTGGAGTTACTAACACAATGTTTTCAACGTTGATCTGATGTTCAGGTTTACGTGTGTGTGACCTTACAAAATCCTGTGATCTGATGTGCTCCTGCTGCTCGACAGGTAAAAGGAAGTAGCCTCAAAGTTCAATTCCTTGGTGCCTGGGGTAAATGACAGGTTTTCTGTGTGGATGTGCTGAGTTTTTGTTTTGAGTAGTGTTAGTAAAGAATAAGTTTTGTTCTCTGTACATATTACAAACATGCATTTTGAAGACCTAGCCTAAATTGGGTGTGCTTTGGTCTGAATGCACCAAACCAGTTCAATGGCATCTGTGAAATAGTTTGGAAAACAGGTTTTTCAAGGTAGCCAGGCTTGATAGACTGTTCTGTAAATAAGTAAACCTATCGTATGCCATTGGCTGTTTTTAACAACAAACAGGGATTTTAGAATTTGGGTCTTGTATTACTAGTGATTACTGAAGATAAAAATGGGCTCAGGAAAGACTCGAGTTTCAGGTTTTAAGGTTCCACTTGCATCAGTGGGGGCTGCCTTCCACCTGCCCAAATTTTTACACGTAGGTGTCTGCCTTTCTGTGGAGCACAGAGTAGTGGCTCTTGCCCAGAATGAGTCCTTAGAACTGATGCATTGGTTGTTTACTCTAGACAGGAGAAATCTTGTCCTTTCTAGCTGGAGAGAGAGGTGCATGCGTGGGTGGTAAAAGAAGCATCCAGTGGAAAAATGTCATTTTTCACCGAGTAGATGTTTATCTGCTTTGCTTTCTTCCCAGCACAGATTTAATGAATCGAACATAAATTCTCCCATATACAGCTAGCAGACACAGTAACGATTGTCTGCTTATTTCTGACCTTGCGCAGGTTCGGACTGTGCAGAATTAGCGTTGTTTCAGTGCACAGGGGTTGGCACAGCGTTCCGCCTCCCCGAACCACCGGACAGCGAATAACAGGAACCCACTCCAGTGGGTTCTGAGCGTTGGATCTGGGGCTTTGTTCTGTGCTACAATTACTGTCTGTGTTAGAACTTGCTGTTACTGCCTCGTGTCTCTCGTGCTGTAGTTGGAAGAAAAATATTTCTGTCGCTTTTCCCAGTCTGTAATGTATATGATATATGTGATATTTAGTAGCCTGCATCTAATTTGTTGAAGACTTGAGGCCTAGTAATCATCACCAGGATAAAGGATTCTTTGGAATTGCCAAGTGGATGTACTGATAACATCATCTGTTGAGATGGTTTTAACAGTATACAGCATGGTATAAAGGAATTTGTAAATCTGACAGTATACTTAGCCTGAAGGCTTTTCTACTTTTGTGGGAAAAGGATTAGGAGAAGCTATTCTTGAGTAACTTCACGTATTCAAGACACTGGAGAAGATAATTTATTCTTACCTGGAAGTGGTGATTCATTTTATTTGCCTGTGAACTCACCATGAAATAAAGGTATATGAGCACCAAAGAGGTCACAGGGAAATGAAGTTCTCAGAAGAAGTATTTTAGTGACTGTGAACAATAGAAATCATGACCATATATTTAGTAAAAATGCTATTCTGTTAAAATCTGTCAGCTGGTTATAGGGAATTCTTTATGTAGCTGCCATTAAGAAGGCCTAGGTTTTGTGCTTGAATATTAAAAAATCAGTTCTGATAGAGCGTTGTTTCACAAACAGCTGAATACCTGTTCTGGTGGTTCAACAGGTAAGGGTTTTAAGGCAAACCAGCAAGAAAGGTAAGGTTTTATGTTCTAAAGTATATTGTTTGAGATATTTCACTTAAGAGAAATAAATGTAAGACTTCTTACTATGGCAGATCTTAATGTGATTCAAGAGTTGTATGATAAGCTGACGTGCTTTGAACAAGTCTTTTCAGTCTGTATGTACAAAGTCCTGTGTTAAATTACTGGTTGAAATGTTTTTACTATGTTGTAAAGCGTGACTGCTGTTCTAACCTTAGAGTATATTAGTGTCAAGTCCTGAAGTATATTAGTGTATTCCAGACAGCAGTATTGTGTTTTCGGAGCCTGTCAGATATAAATCCCTGTGGTATCCTTGCTGGTGACTTATTTTAGCTGGGAACTCATGATTATGGAGAGTGCTGGACTAGAATGAAGTTCACAAGGGTTTCTTGGTCTCACATAGCACGTGTTTCACCTTGAACAGTGCTAATTCAAGACTTGTTAAGGTGGCGTAATTAAATGTCGTTCATATATCCTGGTTTTCTGTAATACTTCTTCTTTCTGGCTTGTTCTGAAGCATGAGTTACGGAGGGCAGGTGTGGCGTTATTACTGCAAAACACGTGCATTGGATGGCGTCTAAATGCGTAAGTTGAGCTGAAACTGAAACTCCTCTTTTCAGATCTGGTAGGGACCTGAAATTCACCGTGGGTTGGTTTCAGGAATGTTCTGCTTGGACTTCAAGATTTCTACATTTTCAGCACCTGACATCTGGGCTGGCAAGGGGAATAAGCTGGTGGTGCACCAGATGGGACCCTGATGGAAATTTGCTAGATTTGCCTTGGAATTTCATCAGCAACATGTTTGCATTGACTGTTGTGATTTAAATGAATTGTCACTTTGACAGAAAAATTGGCACTTTGTGACAGAGCACTCCTCACGGAAGCCTTCAAGCAGCTGTAAAGATCTGTGTGGTTGATATCTTTTCATCTTTTGAATTGTGTGGATTGATTTGAATATAAGCACAGGGAGGGAGAGAACAAGGCTTTAACAAGGCATTGTGCTTTGGAGAAAAACATGTCTCTGGTGCATGGAAACGTCTTGGTTTAGGCAGTTGTTTTATCACCCAGTGACCCCTCCCCACCTCTGAGCAGGGGAGTTGTGAAAAGGAAAGGAGACCTGTGGGTTAAAATGAAGGCAGATTTTAATGAAACTATAATAAGAACTAATATAATACTAATATAAATATTATGTATATATAATATAAAATACACAAAATTATACTCAGATGATGAAAACATGATGGTCACAACAAGCAGGAGAGCAGGCCTTGGGAGGAGAAAGATGGGCGAGACCCTCCAGGGATGATGGCCATTGAGGAGGAGAGTCATCCCTAGCAAACTTTGCAGTTCATGGTGACGTTTATGGTATGGAATACTTCTGTTGGCCAGCTTGGGTCAACTGCCCTGGCTTTTGCTCTTCCTTGCCTTGACACCTGGCTAACTGTAAAATGCTAAAGACCTTGATCACTATGGAAACCCACATACCGTAGCTGCCCACCAACTAAAACAAAGTGTCTTATCAACTTTGTTCTCACCAGATTGGGTGCTGCAGTCTTCTTAAAATGCAGCTTTTCAGACAGAGAATTAATTCTATGATCCTATCCCAGCAAAACCAGGAGAGTGAGAAAGGTTTTTTTATGGTCTAAACTGCAAGATCTTACATCTGCCACGTTCCACCTCGGAGAAGGCTACATTTTGTAGCTGGATGAAGTGATCCTTTGTTCAGCTTTTGAGTAAAAAGAGGTTATTTTCCTGAACAGCCAGGGCTTTGCGTCATGCTGGGACATAAGTATCACCTGAATGCTCTTCGACTCAGCACAGCCTCATTCCTTGCTGTACATTTACACTGAAGGCTTGAGGTGTAACTCCAGAGCACAATTTTATCTGCAGAGCCCCTCTTGGTGGCTGCTGGGAGAAATAAACATTTTTCAAAAATACACTTAATTCAGTGAAGCATAACAGGAATTTAGTGCTTTGGGTCTTTTTTTTCTCATCAGCGTTTCTGTCAGGGGCAGTGGAATTGTATTTAAAAATGGAAGTGATTGCAAGATGTGATTGCTCATATATTCCCGAGTAATCCAACAGTTAGGGTAGAGCCAGTAAAAATGCTGTTTTCTAAATGTAGATTGAAAAGGAGAAAATGAAATGCTTTTAAAAATATTTCCAGTAAGTGAAACTGTTATTTACACATAATTCATCATGATCAAATGTCATAAATGGGTGATAAACCTTCAAATATTTGATTTTAGCTGGCAGATTAGCAAGTCATGCGTTTAAGGAGGCTCGTGTTCATTTTCACTGGCCTTATTGTCCCATTTTTTACTTTAATTATGCATCATTTTTACATTCTATTTATTTTTATTTCATTTTTTTTTCTGTTTTCTCTAAGGTGAGTTTTAAATCTGATTTGTGTTATTTGCCTTCTCATTTGTAAAATGTGTTGATCACAGGCGAGCTCTTAGAATTATATTTTCATAGAGGTGTCTCAGTTATCACTCCAGCTATTTTCCTGTCAAGATCTAAAAGCTGAACTGAATCAAAACTGAATGTCCCAATGTTTACACGGTTGGCTTTTTTGAAGAGTGTGCCTGCATATTTCACAGCGTTAATACTGTATTTGCATTTCTTTTAGTTGACTTGCTTTTCATAGTCTCCATGTTTTCTGATAAGAAGCACTGAATTCCTTGGTTTTTGGGGTTTTTTTTTGTGGCACTGTTAGATTCAAATTTTTTTTTTTTTTCCACAGTCCTTGTGAATAATCTTAATATAATTGTGCTGTTATTAATAGATTTTTTTCAATGCCTGAGACAAATGCCAAGTTGTCTCCTTTCTAGATAGATGTTTTCTGTTTGTTTACAATACAAGTAGAAATGAACAGTACTGTTTTTCAGTCTCATTCCAGATGAGCCATCCCTTCCTGGAAGAGGGTGGTTTCTGCTTTGTACCCATTCAGTCCATGGCATTTTGTTGTACACTGCTGGCAGTTGTCATCTGTGACAAGGAATCAAGTTTTGGTTTGTTGTTTTGTTTTGTTGTTGTTCAGGTGTGACTGAACTTGTTAAAATGTACAGAGAAAATAACATTTCGAGCCGCTGTCTGGTTTGGATTCAGGTTTAACAAAGATGTCCAAAGTTAGCCCTGGCTAGAGGGAAATAGTTCTGGTTTTAAGCTTTTTTATTTGGTTCAGAATAAGTTGTAATCCTTGTGCCATGAGCAGGATGGAGACTAAAATGATCCATTCACATTTACAAAAATATTTTATGACAGGAAACAGAGTTTCTGCCTAATAGTTGTGCCCGTCTGTCGAATTAGACATTTTTTTTCATGTGGAAGACTTCATTTTAGTGGTCTTGCTGGGGCACCAAGTGTCTGTGTGGAAACTGCTGTGCAAAGTGATCTTCACTGGGGCTTTGAGTGAGATGCTGTTGTGTTTCCCGGGTGTCCCCTCGTCCCTCGGGGCTGTGTCTGTTGCAGCACTTACAGCTGTGCTGGTGTTTAGGGGGGAATGCTTCGTCCTTTCTGCACGGCCTTTGCAATGGCTGTGCTGGGACCCCCAGTCTGCTCAGATGGAAAATACCCTCATTTAAAATGCAATGTCACAGTCTGGGAACAAGCCGGGTTATTTGTAGTGTGTGCCTGGTGGCATTACAAGGGTGATGCCTGGTGGCCCTCGGGCACAGAGGAAGACTAACTTCACATGCCTCATGGTCAGAGAGACCTGGAGCAGCCAAGATGGGATGAGGTGGCAGAGCAGACTACCTACAATAAACTTGCTGTCCTGTTCTACAATACTTCCCCTCCACCTTTCCTACAGTGCTATTTTCTTCTCCCTTCTTGGCATATACCTTTACATATCGTATGCAGTTCCTTCCCCAAACTTTGCAGTGACTCTGTTTCACCCTTTGCATACCTGCTCCGTTTTTGCCCCCCAGTCTCAGCCTGGTGCCCTGCCAGTGAAGGTCTCCTCTGTGCTCCCATCAGTGAGGCTCTTGTGCCTCTCACACTGCTGCTCTTCACAGGGAAGGACTTCCAGGAGCTGTCTCGCTGTGCCCAGCCTGACTGGAGTTGGAACTGGAGTTGGAACTCCAGAGCACCTTAAGGCTCGTTGTCAGTCCCCATTTGCTCAAAAGAGTGTATCCCACTTGAGCAACTTTAGTGTTGTGCTGTGGTAGTGGAATAACTTACTAGGTAGCTGTTTGCCTGAGATCTATATAAATAAATATATAGCGAGATAGCTGAAATGCCACGGGGTGGAGTGCAGAGAGTGTAGATGCTTCTGGAGGAGTTGCCCGGCGCCGTTAAAAAGAGGTATAGAGTTCCAGGGTTTGGGGTGGGAATGGGACCCTTAGTGTCTGCTTCCAACGTGCATAAAACACAGAGAGAAGTTTCAACTTTGAAATTACTTAGCTAATTTGAAAAAAATGTAAGCAGTGTTCATGTTTCTTTCATTACTTGTGCTGGTTATAATTATGCCTGCTGAAGTAGCTTTACTTTGGAGGCCATGGTAGGTGGCTTTGGTGTAAGGGGAGATGTCAGGAGCTGCTGGAGCCCAACCTGCCTTTTTAAAGACCTTTCCTGTGCTTATTTTCTCTTCTTTATGGTACACACCTGTTATTTTTAGGTGTAATGCTGCCACTGCATTGAGTGTGTGTCTGGGAGGTTTCTGGTAAATATGGAGAGAGGGGCTTTTCCAGCTGCCTGCTAATAAAGCAGTCTGCTTTGTACTCCTGTTGTAGGACCTGGAAGTCATTTAAGGGAATTTAGGCATCCAGGATATAGCTGAAATGTGCCGTCCTTCAGCCGGGATGACAGCTACTTGGAGTCAGTTCACTTGTAAACAGGGAAGTTGCTGTTTGTCTGAGGAATGCAGTTTTTAGAAACAGAGTGAACTAAGGATCTCAAATTGGAAAACTTTTTTTTGCCAGAAGGGTGGGGAGGAGGGTTTGGAGACTGAGAGCGTGGGGAAAGTATCCTCCAGAGGAGGTTTTTAGTTGTGAATTGCGAGGTTTCTGGAGGAGGACCTCACCCTGTTGGTATAGTTATTGGAACCAGCATTCAAGTTGAACAAATGCCATCAGGAGAAGGCGGCAGCAGGGCTGTGTACATGGTTGGTTTTGGATGTCAGGAGCGATGGAAGAGAAACTGCAAGTTTTCATCAGTGTGGTCCTGATGGTCTTGCAAGTGATTATCAGAAAAGGCTTTGAGTTTGGGGAAAGGAGGGTAGAAGCTAAAGAAACCAGGTGAAAAGCTCTTTTTTTTTTTTCCTTCTTCTGACTGGGTGGTTTAAGAAAGAGGAACAACAGAACATGCATCTAATTTTTTCTAGCAATATAGAGGAGAATAAGCAAGACATGGTGTGCAGGTTTTGCAGCAGAACTTCAGGGAGATGTAACTTCTAATGCTGGTGCTTTGGGAATAGGAAGGTGAAGCTTATGACAAACTTGTCATGAGACCTATAACTTAAGTCCATGGAAAAGGGAGAAGGAATGGGACAGTGTCAGAATGGTTCATGGCTGCCTACGACCTTGGTGTCCCTGCTTAGGCTAAAAAGTGCCTTGAAACATTTCAGCCCTTTGTTCTGTGGTATTCAGTGCGTCCATCAATTCTGAGTAGCCCGTATTTCTACTTACAAAATAAATTAAGACGACAGAAGACTGTGAATTATTTAGTTTAATTCCAAAATACAAGCAGCTTAAGAATGCAGTTTTTCAAATGTTCTTTAAAATAATCTGTGTGTAAACATAAAGATACATGTTCCAAAAATAATCTTGGAGAGTAAAATTTTTCATATAAATAAAAGTTTGGGAACTGTGAGGCAGGCTGGATGGCAGTACTATCAGGAAAAAAAGATCAAAGATTTGGGATGCCTTTAAAAGGGCTTTGTTTTTGTGTGTGTGTGACTGAACTCTGTTCTCCTCAAGAGGTTTTGATAAAGTTTTTCAAATTACAAACCCTGAATTACCAGTCACTTACTTACATGGATGTTTGTGTGAAACCTGTCTTGCTTTTGTTCCATGCAGATATTTTTTTTAAGGTGTTAGGCAGGGTGAAATGGTAGATTTCAAATACAGATATTTCTAGCATCCAGTAAATGTCTTCTCGTGCTGCTGCTTCCTTATGGCACCAGAGGAAATCTTTCTGAAATAGAGCCATAGTTAGCATTAGAGATCTAGGAATTTGTTGCTTAAAAATAGAAGTAACAATTTATCTCCCTTTGCAACCCACAGGAAAAATAGCTCCATTAGTTTAAGGGTGTTAGTTTGCATGAGTTAAATGATTTTTTTTTTCTTAGTGAGTCTCTGGGAGGGACTTAGAGAAAGCTATTCAAGGAAGAATTCCCTTTGAAGATGGTTCTTCAGCGTGCAAAGCTCAGTTTTAGTGAACCTTGAATTTTTCATTTGGAGTGATGAGTTTCCTGTCCCCTACATTGTCTACCCACAGCTCATTCTGTCATGTAGGTCCAGCTCACATGGAAATTCTTTCTCCCGTCATGCCCAGGCTTGTCCTGTTTAGTTGCTGTCAGTGTCCTGAGAAGGATGCTGGTGTTTTGTGGTTAGTTTTGGTCTCTTAAACTTTAATGACATCTCCACTGGACCTCAGGGGAGTAAGGAAAAGCTGCAGACATGGTGATGCCTTCCTGCTGGGGGTTCTCAGTCCAAAGGCCTGGTTGAGTTTTAACTTAGTGCACATGCCAAGTAGATCGTAGAATCATTGAATGTTGTGAGCTGCAAGGGACCCACAAGGATCATGGAGTCCAACTCCTGTCCCCGCACAGGACAATCCCAACATTCACACCATGTCCCTGAGGGCCTTGGCCAAATGCTGCTGGAATCTTGTCAGGCTTGGTGCCATGAGCACCTCCCTGGGGAGCCTGTTCCAGTGCTCCACCACCCTCTGCCTCAAGAACCTTTTCCTCATGGCCAACCTCACCCTCCCCTGCCACATCTTCCTGCCATTTCCTCTGCTCCTGGCGCTGGTCACCATCTGGCACATACAGTTTCCTCAGCTGTGATTTTTTAATAAGATTATTCTCTTTTCTCCCATACAGGCATCTTTGCTTACCTGAACTACCATGTTCCCCGGACAAGACGGGAGATCCTGGAGACCCTTATCAAAGGGCTCCAGCGGCTGGAGTACAGAGGTTATGATTCTGCAGGTAGCTCGCTCTGAGCAACAGTGGCTCTATTTTGAATTTTGGCTTGTAGATGATGATTTTGATGGTGTGTTTGTGAATGGTTTCTACTGTCTTCTGCTTTTGAAGGAAGTTGAAACACAAACCGGATGTGCCTGTGCTTATGTGGTCAGAGGTTTGGATTATCTTTAAATACACAGTTTTCTGTGTCGTTCTTGATACCTGTTACTTAAGGCTTTGAAAATACCTACAACATGACAAAGGGAAAACTTAATTCTAATCTAAGGGGTTTCCTGTCTTTATCTGAGAGTCAGCTTGGGGGAGAAAGGACACTGTAAAAAAAAAACAACAAAAAAAAGGCTGTACTGCCTACAGAAAATAATGTAATTAATGTAATATACTTTCTGCACTTCACACTCTCTTTTCATATTCTGTGGCGGTGCTTAGGTGTGGGAATCGATGGTGGAAACGACAAAGACTGGGAAGCTAATGCTTGCAAAATCCAGCTTATCAAACAGAAGGGGAAAGTGAAGGCTCTGGACGAAGAGGTTCACAGTATGTATTTCCCTTTGGTTTTTCACTCTCTTTCCTTGAAGTGGCCTCTCATCTCATTTGTGTTTTGAATATCACCTGTTTTACTTGGAAACACTATTTCCAAATAATTGTGTATAGAGCGCCAGAGATGTAAACATCTGTGTGCTGTGAAGAACGCAGTGATCCTGTGGATGCTGTCATGAAGTTATAGAGAAGTCCTGATTTCTCAAGACAGATGAATCACATCCCGTTAAGATAATATAGACTTGAAATAAATTTTAGAAAACAGACCATAAAAACCTCAAACAAAAAACTCCTTAAACTAGAGAAAGGGGAATTAATGGGAGATATTTATCAGAGACCTAGAGCTTGGGGGAAAAAAGATAAATACTCTAATAACTTCACCAGTTGAGTTTTAAATTCTCATGTGCAGTGCTTCTCCCAACTAAAGCTGTCCATCTGAGTAGTGATGGGCTGAGCAGTGGGCTCCAGGAAAGCACTAATTGTGTGTAACTGTGTAATTGATGAGGACACAGAGAGTGAGGTCTTCTGCATCTGTTTCTGCCTCTTTATGTTCCCTTGATTTAAACGTCGAGTTCATTAAATCTGTGCAGAACACAAACGAACAAAGTTGGGTGTGGAATACAGGTAAGCTGTGTCAGAATGGGAAGATGCTTTTCAGAGGAGTTAAAATTTCTAGTTTTCATTCAAGAGCTGCTGTGTTGCTGTAACTTAACTTTTTTTAACCCATGTTAATGTTAACCTCATGGTGCAGAGTGCTGTTCACACAAAAGGAAGGTGAGTAGATCTAGAGAAGACCAGGAACTGAAAAGGCCAGGTGAGGTGGTGTGTGCAGTACAGAAATAGAAGATAAAATACTTCTGAAGAAATGTTTGCCTGCTCAAGAAAATTGCAGGATATATAGTTTTAAAGAGATTGTGGAAGACACTTGTAGGACAAAAGTAATCTTTTTTCACAAAGAAATATTAATGTTAATATTGTGCTTTCTAGAGATAAGGGTTAGTGATGAATATTCGAACCACAGTGGTATGTAACCATGAAACAGGCTGGTTCAGTCACAGCTGACAGCGTATGGCAGGTGACAGGAGGGCGAAGCGCACCCCTGAGGGATAAAATGAAGGTTGGATTCTTTCTTAAAGTTGCTTTTTATTTTGGCGGGGTGAGGAATGCAGGGAGGTTGCTTGTGTGCCTCTGCATTCTGAATGCCCTGAAAACGCACTAGGTATGGTGGTGGATTTGCTGATTCGGTTTCCTGTCAGTATTGCTGTCCTGTGGACCACGGAGGCCTGGTGAGACTCCCACGTTGACTCTGGGGTAGGGACACCCCTCAGTACTAAAAACTTCTACTTCTGCTGCAGAGCAACAAGACATGGACCTCGACATCGAGTTTGATGTACACCTTGGAATTGCCCATACGCGTTGGGCTACCCACGGCGAGCCCAGCCCTATCAACAGCCACCCGCAACGCTCAGATAAAAACAATGGTGAGTGTGTTTGCTTGAGGAACCGTGTGCTCTGGGTCTTGGAGCATCTGGAAAAGCTTGCTGCTATCTCCATTGCCTGGTGTGTCACAGGGAGGGGTGGCTGGACCCAGGGCAGTGGTTTTTTTGCAGGCTGTGATGCCAAGCCTGGTTACTGTGAAGCTGGAGAGGTTTGGCTTTGATTTCTGGCCATGGGGTATGTTCTCAGCGGGCATGATGTCAGGAAGGGTTGGGATTAGTGCTCAGAGGTACCGTGGGTGCACGGCCACCGTGCAAGGAGGAGGTAAACACAGAATGAAACTGAATGGTAAGACTTTTCATGGCTGTTCTTTGGAATGCAATTTGTTATACTTTTTCCCCATTTATTGTTTTTTTCACCACTGTACGGAAGGGGCTTGGTCTGCTCTGTGCAGCTGCAGCGTGCAGCTTGGTTAGAGTTTGGTGTAGCTGCCCGAGGAGCAGCACCCACAAGCTGGCAGGAGGAGTGTGGTTTTGAAGGGCTTCCAGCAGGCTGGAAACTGCCAAGGGCTCAAGTGCCTCCAGAAACTTTAGAGGGTCTCAGTAGCTCCAGTCCCACCTGGGTCATTATCTTCTGCCATTACCCTCCACACCAAACCGGGCAAAGCAAGGAAATCACACCAGGAGGTGAAAAACTCTTCTTTTTATTCTGCCAAGTGTGGCTTTTCACACAGTAAAGCTTTGTGGGCTGGCGTGGGGCTGAGTGGGGCCTTTCCTCTGTCTCCAGAGTTCATCGTCATCCACAACGGCATCATCACCAACTACAAAGACCTGCGGAAGTTCCTGGTGAGTGACCCTCCCGCTGTCTGTCTGTGTGTCTGTCTGTGTGTGTCTGTGTGAGATGCTCCCTCCCTCGCTCTCCCACTCCCAGTCGCTTTTGCTTTCGCACACTTCCCCACTCACTCCTCACACTCACGTTCCCACTCACATTCCCACTCCCACTCTATCTCCTTCATTCATTTTTCCCCACTCATATTTTCACACTCACAACTCACTCTCCCACTCATTTACACTCCCACTCCCCCACTTACACTCTCACACTCACTCTCCTACTCTGTGAGTACATTCTCACACTGATCCCCACTGTTCCCTCACTCCCACTCCCTTCACCCCCCCATAGGCTCCCATTTACACTCATTACCCTACTCACACACCCCAGCTTACACTCCCTCACACCTCCACTCACACTCGCTCTTCCTCTCACACTTCCCCACTCTTCTCCCCAATTCACCCACCTAAACTCCCTCGCTCCCTTCCACTCACACTCCTCCTCTCATTCCCCACTCATTCTCACACTCTGCACTCCCCCACTCACACACCCATTATTCCACTCCCTCCCTCTCTCTCCCTCACTGACACCCATCCTCACACTCCTCACTCCCCCACTCACACTCCCCTCCTCCTCTCTCACACTCACTCCTTTATTCTCAGCCCCCACTCCCTCACTCACCCACTCACACTCACTCTTCCACTTCACACACACTCCCCTCACTCCTACTCCCACTCACTACCCTGTTCCCCCACTCATAATCGCTCAGCCCCACTCACACTCTCCCAAGCACTTCCCCCACTCACTCACATTCATTACTCTCCTCCACTCACACTCCCACTCACCTTCCCACACACCCTCCTCCCTCCCCCCACTCATATTCACACTCTTTAACTCACACTCCTGACTCACTCCCTCCCTGCACACTCCTTATTTCCCCACTCACACTCCCACTTACACTCCTCACTTGCTTCATTCTCCACTCAGTCTCCCACTCACTCTCCCACTCCCCCACACTCACTCTCCCACTCATATTCTCACTCACACTCCCTACTGACTCATAACTCCTCCACTCACACTCTCCCACTCATACCCCCCTTGTTCCACCACTAACCCTCTCCATCCCACTCGCCCTCCTCCACTCACCCTCACCCTCCTTTCCCCCCGGCTCTCACTTCCCACTCACCATCCCACTCACACTCCTCACTCCCCTACTCACTACCCCATTTCCTACACTTGCTCACACTCCACTATTCACACTCCACTCTTCCACTCACACCCCCACTGCTCGTATTCATACTTGCCCTCCTCATTCCCCCACTCATTCTCACACTCACTCTCACTCCCCCACTCACCTCCTGCTCCTCTTACAGTCCCCCCACTCTCTCTTCTCGCTCCCCAGTCACACTCACCCCCATTCATATTCTGCACTCTCACACTTCCACTCACACTCCTCTGCTCACTCCCCACTTGCAGTCACTCCTCCACTCATACTCCCCCCTCACTACCCCATTCCCCACACTCACTCCTCATTCACTCATTCTCCCACTCACACCCTCACTCCCCCACTCATCTCACACTCCCCACTCACTCTCAGTCCTCACCCCATTCATATTCTTGCACTGACTCCCACTTACCCTTCCACTCACACTCAACCTCCTCATTGCCCCCCTCACATTCTCACACTCGCTCTCCCACTTACACACACCCTGACTCACGCCCCTCACCTCACACTCACTCCTCATTCCCCCACTCACACCTACCCTCCCACACACTCCCTCTCACTCCCCATTCCCTCACTCAAATTCTCCCATTCACACTCACTGTTTACACCCTCTCCCACTCACACACTCCTCCCACTCTCATTCACATGCTGCCCCTCATATTCCTCACACTCGCTCCCCACTCACACTCACTCTCCTCCTCATTCCCCCACTCATTCTCACACTCCTTTACTCTCACTCCCCCACTTTCCTACTCACACTGACCTCCCATTCACACTCCCACCTCCCTCCCTCCCTTTCTCTGGCTCATACTCACTCACTGCTCCACTCACACTCCACCCTCTGCCACTCTTATTCTCACATGCTTGCTCCTCTACTTACACTTCCTCGCTCTCCCACTCATTCTCCACTCAGTCTTACACTCGCCTCCATTCACATTCCCACTCCTGCTCTCTCCCTCTCCCACTCATTTCCACAGCCTCACTTGTTTCACTGCTGAACTCTCCCCCCACTCACACTCATTTGTAGTCACTCGTGCGCTCCCCAGCTCACACTCGAGAGCGCTTACACACTTGCTCTTGTGCACTCAAACCCACTCCCCCACTCGAAATCATGTTCTCATAACACTCACTTTTCCAGTTGCACGTTCTTGCGCTCTCCATCGTGCACACTCCCACTCCACTTGCACTCACACTCGTCCTTGCACTCTGTGTGCAGTCAGTCCCCACTCACACTCCCACTCACGTTCACATCATGCTCTCGTGCTCACATGCCCTCCCCCTCCCTTTTGCACTGTCGTGTGCACACTCACTCTGTACATACTCTTGACTCACACACTCTCATCCTCGCTCTCCTACTCACACTTGTACTCTCCCTCTTGCACGGTGCTGCTCCCTCACTCGCACTAACAGTGAGGGAAGGTGAAGGAAAAGGAAGGAGGTACATCCGGATGGAGGAGAAAGGAAAGATGGAAGGAAAAGGGAAGAAGAAGGAATGAAAGGGAAAGGACACGAAAAGGAGGGCAAGGAAATTAAGGAAAGGAAAAGGAAGGGAAGGAGGAAGGGAAGTGGGAAAAGGAAGGGAAGGAGGAAGGGAAGTGGGAAAAGGAAGGGAAGGAGGAAGGGAAGTGGGAAAAGGAAGGGAAGGAAAAAGAATTAAGGAAAGTTGAGTCCAAAGGAAAGGGAAGGAAGTAAGGAAAAAAGAGAAGGAAGGAAAGGGAAAGGCAGGAGAGAAGGAAGAAGGGAAAAGAGGAGATGTAGGAAAAGAATGAGAAAATGAAGAGGAAGGAAGGACAAGTGAGTAAAAAGGAAGGCCAGGAAAGAAGGAAGGAAGGCAGGAGAAAAGGAAAAGGAAAAAAGGGTAAGTCAGGAGAGAGGAAAAAGGGAAGGAGGGAATAAGGCAGAAAAGGAAGGAAGAGAAAGAAGCAGGGAAGGAAAAAAGGAAGAGGAAGTGCAGGAGGGTAGGAAAAGCAGGAAAGGAGAGGAAAAAAGCAGGAGGGGAGGAAAAAGGAGAGGAAAGGCAGGGAAGATAAAAGTATGAAGGAAGGAAGAGGAAAGGAAGGAAAGGAAAAGGAAAGGTGGGGAGGAAGCAGAAAGAAAAGGCAAGGCATGAGAAAAAGAGGGAAGGAAAAATTAAAGGCAGGAATAAAAAGGGAGAAAGGCAACAGAGAAGAAAGAGGCAGCAAAAAAGGAAGGAAAAGCAAAGGCAGGAACAAAGAGATGAGAGAGAGGGAAGGAAAAGTAAAAGAGAAAAGAAAGAAAAAGAAGGGAAGGAAGGAAGGAAAAGGACGGCTGGAAAGAAAGGGGAGAAAAGGAAGGGAAGGCAGAGGGCCGGTGACCCAATGCATTGTGTCGCTGCAGGAGAGCAAGGGCTACGACTTCGAGTCGGAGACAGACACGGAGAGCATCGCCAAGCTGGTCAAGTACATGTACGACAACCGGGACAGCGACGACATCAGCTTCACCACGCTGGTGGAGAGGGTCATCCAGCAGCTGGTAATACTGGGAGCAGGGTGGGGACCCGGGGACAGACAGGGACACACACACACGCCCCAATACAGACAGATGCAAAAAATAACAATTGCACTCGAGTACTGCGCAGGGTGACCTGGCCTGTGCTGGACTGTGCCACAGGACGTTCTGCGGCACACGCTGAGGAGTGGGTTTGTCTTTCCTACCTCTGACTGTTCGTCTCAGACATACATTCGTTCTTCTTTAACAGTATCTTGAGGCAGTCGGTCCCTGGTGTGTTGGGTGGTGAGTGTGCAGGGGGTGGGAGAGTGAAAATAAGTCTGTGCTTCAGATCTTCCCTGAAACCTCCAGCTGGAAGAGATGCTGACCCCGTGTGGAAACTTCACTGCACAGCCTGTGGCTCCACGTGTCGGGTCTTGCCGAGCTGTGCACAGGATCCATCCACAATTTACCTCCTGTCTCAGAGCGCGTTGTTCAGGACACAGATTTTCAGTGATTTTGCCTGGCAGGAGCTGTAGTAGCAACAGCCCAAGGACACACTTTGCTGGCAGGTTGTGGTGGCTCAGCTGTATGTTCGTTGGCACCACCTGAGCAAACACTGCCAAGTTTTAGTGCTTCTTTTACCAGGTCTTTGCCTTTGTCAGTCCCCTCACTGTGCTCTGAACTACAGCAGGAGCACTTGCACGGGTAGGCAGTGGATGTCCAGGTTCAGAAGACGTTAAGTGGTTGAGGATGAGCTGCCCAGGCTCAGGGGAGGGAAGCCCTTCCAGAATGAGGTGCCTGGAGCTTATGGTGGCTTAAACCTCAAATGAAGAAATAAACAGTTTGTATTTCTCTTGTTCCAGGAAGGTGCTTTCGCCCTTGTGTTCAAAAGCGTTCATTACCCTGGACAAGCGGTCGGCACCAGGTAAGTATTGCCATGGGAACGAATGTTCTTGTTGCACCCTACATGGGACTTTTTTTGTCCCCCCAAGTTAAAAGACAATAGAGTAGAGGTTGTTGTCATCATGCTGTATACTCTGGGATGGGGGTGGCTGTTGTTTTTAATTTCCTTTCTCTTGTTTTCCATTTATCATAACAGCACAAGCTCTCCTCCCAAAAATGTTTTGAAAATTTGTCAGTGACCATGTGTATCACAACTGGTCAGGAACAGCTTTTTTGTAGACTCTGGTTGTGAGAGTGTTGAAAGGAGATTATTTTCTCTTTTCCTTTGTCTTTGCCTTTGTGGCAGCATTTGGACAAGTCCTCCATTTGACTTGAAATTGGGCCAGCCTGCTGTTCAGGTTTTCTACTCCACTTTTAAACATCAGCATCAGTTGGGTTGGTTTGACCACACATGTGCCTAGCACAGGTATTAATTTTGGTGCCAAGAGCTGTTCGTAGATACTCACAGTGAGCAACAGCCAGCATGTTCCTGGTTCAAGCATCTGTGGGATTCCAGTTACTCTTGTAGAGTTCCCACTAAACTTGAGACACATTCCTCATGTCCTTGCGTTGTGTTTATTCAGAGATTCTTTCACTCTGTTTTGTGGCCTCCGGTGTTTGCAGCACCACATCTGGGAGGAGCCCACTCTTTTTTAGTTCATTTCAGTTGCTGCGCTGGAGAACAACAGTCTCTTCAGGTTGGATGGCAGGGTGATGAATGTTGGGGTCCTGAGGGCTGTAACTTGATGTCTTCTTGCAGGCGAGGCAGCCCCCTGCTAATAGGAGTGCGCAGCGAGCACAAGCTCTCCACCGACCACATCCCGATACTCTACCGGACGGGTAAGTGTGAGCATCTCCCACCTCATAGAACCGCGTTCCAGTCACACTCAGACCCATGTGCAAGTGTAGAGTTTCACAAACGGTTGTGTGCTCTCACACGTTTAAACTTTCATTTGTAAATGAAACTATTATAAAAAAGAGGTTTTATTTTTTAAGTAAGTTTGCTACCACATGCTATACCACCATATACCTCATTTTAGTCTCTAGTTTTATAATCAAAGCTTTAATGTGCAGTGGTTGCAATGAAAACACATCTTAATGCAATAGAATAGAATAGTTCAGTACAGTGAAGTTACCAGTACAGTTAAACTTAGATACTCAAGTTTATATTTTGGGTGGCATGTTGGCATTCAAGAACAGAAATGACCGTGCTTTGCAGGCTATAGGCTTTGCACTATCACAAACCTTTCCCCTGCCCCCCCAACATAATTTGTAGAAAGCAGAATGCTGTTACCCTCTGTGTGCTAATCTATATTCATGTTGTCTGTCCATCTTTCACACATGTGTTTTACCACCATAGACATGTAGTTGCACCCTTGCAAATGAGAAGTGGCTAAGATTATGTAGTATAATTACAGTATCCTGTAATTTGCTGTTGTCAGAGGAGTCTGAACCCGTTCAGTTACTGAGCACTGGGCTACTTCTTTAAGCACTGCAGTGATCAAAAAGATTGACTATCACAGTGTCTCTTACCCTAATGGTGCTGCTAACCATAGCTTGTGCAACGTAACGCGAAGAGCCAGGCCTAGTAAGCTTTGTCTGTGTTTACCCTTGGTTGATGTTGGATAATTAGCAGTAATCCTTAATATATGTATGTAACACTTTTTATTTTTTCACTGATTGTCTGAAGTTTTTGTGTGTCTTTCCCCCCCCCAATGATACTTTCAGCTGTACAACCTATGGATCATTCTTTTGATGGAATATCCATAAAAGTGGAGGAAGGTGCCTGCCAGAGAAAATCTAATACTTGCAATTTCAGATAAATCCTCCAGTTCCTTAGGAAAGGAATCATAAATGAAACAAATATGCATTGGCTCTTTAATATGTGGTTATTGCTTTCCTTGTAGTGTAGTGAAACAAATGGGATGATCAGAATTCCTTCTTGATCAGAAACACCATGAGCAACACACAGGAAAATCCACCCATCAGTCCACCCCTCTCATTTCAAATATTCTGGCACAATGGTCAGCGTACACAAAAAATAGATGACTTAGTGCAGGTTGTGCTGTGTGCCCCCTGCAACTCTGATTACAGAAGGAAATAGTAAATTACCTTAAAAAAACCCACAAAACAATAGAGTGAAACCCTGTTAGGAGGCTGCTGAAAATCCTAATGCAAGCATTCTCCAAAATTCCTTCTGGAGTTCAGCTTGCCAAAGAGCTGCATCCTCCCTCCTGATCGAAGAGCGAATCGGAATTGCAGCTTCTGCTAGAAGCGGTAAGGTTGACCCGAGGCCGGAACTTGCTTGCATTTATCAGGGTGAGCCAGTTTTAATTCACATTAAGTACTTAGTTCATCACATCACATACAATGGCTTAGCCTTTACAAAAATTAATTTCCATCTGAAGCAGGAGAGCGCTTTTCTGTCAGAGGAAAGGATCTGATTCTGAGCTACTGTAAATAACTCTGATTCCAGCCTCGGGCACCGACAGCTCAGTGGGTGAAGTCTGTGCGCTTTTGCTGGAGGAGAAACAAACCTCCGTTTGGTGAAACATGAACTGTGCTTGTTCTCTGTCAGCAGCTGGTTTACCTGAATCCAAACATCAGGCGAGGTTTTGTTTCTTTTTCACCAAACATATCTCTCTCAGTGTAAAGTGTTTAGACTAAAATTCTGAAGTCAGGTTAATTCCCAGGGGTTTTAAGATCCAAAGTCCTTCAGCTTTCAATGGCACTAAGGCTTTTCTGAAAAATGGGCCATATGAAGTATATGGATTAGAGAATCTTTGACTGTAATCATTATTTCATTGGCTGTATAATGCTGAAAAACGCCTCTTACAGAAATCAAAACTGCAGTGCTGCTCAAGTAAGCATGGAAGGATCTATTAAGAAGCATCTCTGTTAATCTGTGCTGTAGTACCTTTGCAGAACTGCCATACGCTTAGGAGCATCATAATGGAGAGTGAGGTGGTATCAAAATATACTCAAAACATACCACCCCCTCAGTTTTTACTATACCTGTGTTATTTCTCTGTGATGTCTCCATTCTTTGATTTAGAAGGGAAAAGATTAAAAAATTACTTCTGTGTTGCTTCCAAATTCTAGTAAATGGGAGGTAAGTGCTGTAGAGCAACAGTCTAGGTTACCTGTAGATAAATGGACAATCTGTGGACAAATCCGTAAAGTAACAACTGTAACTGGCTGATAATTCTCACTGTAACTTTTCAACCACTCCTTGGTAAGGTACACATACAGTGCACATATATGTGCACAGTAAGAACACATTCCAGACAGGAAAGCAATGCAACATAATAAAGTCAATGCAGGGAAATGTTGTCTTTTGAGAAACAAAATTTGCATGTTTTGATCCAAGTATGGGTGCTTCTGTTGGAGAACGGCCACTAACAAACACCTTTGCTCTGTCCTTTTTCAACACCAAATCAGTCTGTCCTGTCTCAGCTCAACAACAAATATGTTGTTTTCCTTATTTACTGACTTAATAACTAAAGTGGAGGGCTCTAAATTGTTGGCTGAGTGGAATCTTCTTATTGAGTATCAACATGAAAGCAGTATTTTTTATTTTTTTGTCATTTTCATTTACAGAAGTATAAATCTAAACACAATGAGCTCTACTTACCTCACTGAATCAGAGGAGTATCAAGTAGGTCAATCACATTGGAGCTTATGGAACAAATATGTAATAGAGTAACTTCAATGTCGTTATTCTTCAGCAATACTCACGTTTTGCTAGATAAGCAGATTAATCCACCCTCACCACTTACTACACTGTGCACAATGACTGGCAAATGATTTTGTTGGAGGTCAACGCCGAGCAGTAGGTGTTTTGGTCCTCATCTACATTCCTGATGAGCTTTGCCACTGAGAAGTATTTTCTGCAGTTAAAGAAAGAGGTGGGGAGTTAGAGAGTATTGGGAATTGCCAGAGTACTTCAGAAAGGATCCCTGGTGAAACACTGAACTTTTTTCAAGGCTTAGTACAAAGTTTTCAGAAATTGACTCTTAATCCAGTGTCCTTCAGTACACCTAGATACTTCCCTGGCAATAGCTTAAGACTCGCAGCAGTTTACCAGCTGTACAATTTTTGGATCAGAATGAGGTAGTTGTATTTGATAGCTCAGGAACAACACCGAGTACTTAATCATGTATTTCCTGATCTATGTCTGAACACATCAGCTCAGCCAGCCAAAGCCAGGTTTGGGTTACATCTACTGGTGCTCAGTGGAACAGTGTGGTTGCACAGCTGGCAGCTGTGAAGGAATTTCACCCCGTGCTGAGAATAACTGACAAAGAAAGAGCCATCTTGCTCGATTTCTCAAAGCCTAAAGGAAGTTAGTGAAACAGGAGCACAGGAGAAACTTAAAATGATAAACAGGGCAGATTAAAGGGAAAATGTTGGTAAATATGACTGCTTATAAAGCAGCTTGAATCCTCTTCTGCCAGCGGAGTCACAGAGAAACTTCCATTTGAATTTCTACTGATATTTTCCTCTAAACTTAAAACTCTATGCTAACGTTACCCTTGCCAACTTGATTCGAAAGCACATAAAAACCTTGCAAGCAAACTGAGAAAGGGCACAAAAATATGAGTGCGAGTATGCTGCCCTCTTCTATTGTCACTTTTAAATGTACTGTGACCATGCACAGTGATGAAAATAGTGCTTCATGTTGGTACTGTGCCTTGGGACCTCTGGTTGAGACTGACATTGCAGCCGCGTTCCAGATTTGTCACCGTGTGCGGTACCTGATCCTCCTGTCTCCTAGGTAAAGACAAGAAGGGCAGTTGCAACCTGTCTCGTGTTGACAGCACCACCTGCCTTTTCCCTGTTGAGGAGAAAGCTGTGGAGTACTACTTTGCTTCTGATGCCAGGTAGTGTTTTTTAGTATCTTTTAGTGTCTATAAAAATATGCTGTTTAAAGCTGAGGCCTTGAACAAGAGTTGGGGAGGCTGCGGTTTCTTCATGAATAATAGTAAATTATGTATTATGTGGCCATTATTTTGCAAACATTAACTAACTAGTTACCATATGCGACCCTGAAAGAGACAGAGGTGGATTAGATGAGAGTTCCTGTTAAAGAAGTGAACACTTGCTTTGGAATAGTGGTGCTATCCTTCAGTCTTATCTGTTGATGAGATTCCTGAGGTGAGTGATAGGAAACCTGAGAGTGTGCTGACCTAAATGACCAGTACAGATGCTAATTATCAGGAGAATTGTGTTGATTCTCCAGGGATGTCTGCACACGTGCAATTCCTTTGTCATCAAAGGTGGCTTGTTTTAATCCCCATGGAGGAAGACTTAACTTGACAGCAGCCTCACCAGAACTTGGGTTTCTCTATATTAGGGAAACAAATGATTGTTCCAGAAACATAAAAATACTGCTGTGGTTGACTCCTGCAGCTCTTTTCGGAGCATTTTGGAGAGTCTTAGGACACTCTGATGTGTTCTGGTTTTAGAGAATTTTTTGTGACTTGCCCAGAGTCAGAACAAAAGCTACTAAAATAGGGAGCTGATGTATTTCAGTACAGCTTGCCCTGTTCCACTAAGAGAGAGTACATTCTAAAACCTGGCCAAAGATTTTAAACCCCACTGGTAATTCCAATACTGACATTCCCTAAGGAAACTGCAGGCAGGGAGGTATTCCATAGTACCTAATTCTTGGAGTGCTTCTAGGCAGATCTCAGAGCACTTTAACAGGTGGCCAAGCTGTCCCCAGTTTCACAGATGGGCTAATGAGATGCAAGGAGGGACAATGGCCTGTCACTGGAAAAAACAAGAAAGGAATCTGCACCTGCAGTTGAGCACCCTGTGTGCTGGGGCAAATTACTGCCTTCCTGACTTCCACCCTCTAGCTCCTAACAGTTAGATCACATTGCTGCCCATGCTGCTTTGTCTGAGGAATTCATAGGTTCTTCTTAAAGCACTGAAATTAATAATGAGGTAGGTGGAAAAAACCCAGTTATATTGGCAGTGTGGAAATGTAATTTAGAGTACTCCTCTTGTTTTAAAAGAAATTCCATTGAAATGAATCACTTCCTTGAATCAAAACCTGTTGGATTATAAATAGGGCTGTAGGCCTCATCTTTCTGTGAAGAATAATGTCTTATGGCACATGCTGTCTGCTTTTCTAGTGCTGTCATTGAGCACACCAACAGAGTGATCTTCCTTGAAGATGATGATGTAGCAGCTGTGGTCGATGGCCGTCTTTCCATCCACCGGATTAAACGCACAGCCGGCGATCACCCCGGGCGCGCTGTCCAAACCCTGCAGATGGAACTTCAGCAAATTATGAAGGGTACAATCTCTTGGATGTCACCTGTGTAAATGCACAGGTCCTCCATGGAGTCACAGAACAAGTTAGGTTGAGAAGGACTCCTGGAGGTCGTCTGGTCCAATCCCTGTGTTAAAAGCAGGGCCAAGTAGATCAGAGTGTTAAGGGGCCTTGTTTAGTTGAGTTGGAACTGTCTCCAAGGACAGAAATCCCACAGCCTGTGTGAGCATCTCTTCTAGTGCCTTACTACCCTCGGGGGAAAAAAAAGTCCTTACATCTGATGGGACCTTCCCTCTACCTGCTGACACCACAACGAGGAGAACTGTGGGGCTAGGGATCCATTTTTCCCCAAGTTGGATCCCTAGCAGGCTTCCCATTCCAGACCTGACCCTCAGTAACACCTTCTAGTACCTTGAATCTAGCTCTCATGATGAGCTGATGCTTTGGTAGAAAAAGAATTATCAGCTTAATAATCTCTGACTGTAACTGGGCTGTTAGTGACTCTGGCCCAAGTTTTTCGATATATATATATATATATATATATATATATGAAAAATGTAAATTACCAGGAGCTAATTTAAAGTGTTCTCATTTGTTTTGATTATTTTTTTTTTTTTTTTTTTAATAGGTAACTTCAGCTCCTTTATGCAGAAGGAAATTTTTGAACAGCCAGAATCTGTCGTTAATACGATGAGAGGAAGGGTCAACTTTGATGATTACACTGGTAATTGACATTAAGCCTCCTTTATTTTTGACAGCTTAGTGTCTAGTAGTTATTCACAGTAGTTATAGAGGAGGAAGCAGGTGATGACATGGGAGATTAAAACATGCTGGTGTAAGGTGATGTGCATGTCTCGCAGGGAGCACTTCCAGAATTACATGTGCTGGTGGCAAGGTTACTTTTTGTGATTTTTTAAAATTTTTTTTTTTCAAAGTAGTTGATGGAAATTGTAACGCGCTGTGTGTTAGCACCAGGAATCCTGAGAAGTTCTGCCACCTGGCCAGCCTAATTTTTCTGTCTGCATCTTACTTACAGTAAATCTTGGTGGGCTGAAGGATCACATTAAAGAGATTCAGAGGTGTCGTCGTTTAATCCTTATTGCCTGTGGGACAAGTTACCATGCTGGAGTTGCAGTAAGTGGTCTTTTGAACAGTTTTGATCTGTTTGTGAACTGCAGCTAGAATTGAACAGCAGGCACAGTATTGTGCGTATCAAGCAGGTTAAGGATTGATAACAGGTTAAAGATTGATTTCAGGTTAAGCTAGAGCAAGTGCACATTGATGAATGAGGACCCTTTTGAAAGCTGCATACACTGGACTTTCAATTCACCAGCAACAGCAGTAGGAAATAAAAGCTGAGGAACCTGAATACTTATGAAAATGTTGCCTGTGACTTTCACTGCTATGGAAGGCTTTAAAAAACCAAAACCTGCTCTGTCATAAAAGACAGTTGGCAGCAGAAGGGACAATGCAAGGACAGAATGCAAAATGCTGCAGCAAGGTAGGGGCTGCCATGAGCCAGAGAGCATTTCCTCCTCTGCTAATTACACAGAAGTGGTGGTGTCTGCTTAGAGACATCGCCGTGCTTGCCCAGTCCAGTGGAGAGCTTTCACTTTGTACCTTACAGAAGTGCTGGCTGTGCGTACAGCCACCCCATGAATTTGTTTCATCAAGGCCTGACCTCATCATTGGTTAAAATGTGATGAAGATTAAGACTTTTTAGATTGTGGCTTGGCAGCCCACCATGTTGCAGTTAAAAGTACCCTGCAATTTCACAGAGGACTCCTTGAGCTTCTCTCAGAAATGCTGCAAAACAGCCACGTTCACTGATTGACAAGGACCAGAAAAGAAAGTTTTTGTTCATCTCGGCTAGCTCTGTAAGACAATGCTAACAGTAATCCATTGACTAGCAAGAGCAAGTTTCTGGCTTGGCCTGGGTACAGGTGGTGGCTTCTGAGTTCTTCAGAAATACAAGTTATAGTCTGATGGAAGGACACCCTGTATTATATTATATATCCCTAGCTTTATATAATAAGTGAGAGGGAGGAGTTGGCCTCACAGGCTTTTTGTGGTGCCAAAAGCAGGGTTGCTTTTCACAGGGGTAGTTTTATGACGAGTGTGGGTATACTGAGTAATTAAAATATAATCCAGCCCTAATTTTCACATGGTATTTTGATAGTAACATTTTCCAGTGTGCGGCTTTTTTGTACTCCAAACACTTGGGTTTTTTTAAACATGATGTAATATGTAACTTTCTGACATCTCCTTTTACCAGACCCGTCAGGTTCTGGAAGAACTGACTGAATTACCCGTTATGGTTGAACTAGCCAGTGACTTCTTGGACAGAAACACCCCTGTCTTCAGAGACGATGTTTGCTTTTTCATCAGCCAGTCAGGTACGGTCTCACTTTACCATCCACCCACTCACTCCCCTCTTTTCTGTAAATGTTAGTTTGGGAGGGAAGAGGGGGCAGGACCAAATTCTTGTGCCTGCCTGTAGGATTGCGTGTGGTACGCGTGAAAGAAGAAATTGGTACACACACACTAGAGACAGGGAGAAACCAGAGCGGGTCTCTCCTGTCCATCTGCCTGCTGGTGCAGGATTTTGCTTAACTGAGTCTTACGTATGGTAACAGTAGTTTTGTTTCCTTTCTCTGTTAATCAACAGACTGAAAAAACGCTACTGAGCTTTGGGTAAAGGCAACTTGATAGTTTATTTTGAATAGTTTTAGTTCTCTAGTTACAGCACTACCAAATACTGAGCTATTTGGTGGACTGGATCCATAAAAGAAATGAAACTATTACACACAAGTATCAAAAAATACAGCCACCTTGGAATGGAATATGAGATAAGACACACTTAAGCAGAAAAAAAAAAAAAAAAGTGATGTTTATCACATTTAAAATATTTTCAAGGACAACTGCAATACAAAACAATATTTTTTTTCCATCTTAGTTGCATTTACCATTGCAGATTTTCATCACTAATCTGCAGCTTTGCTATGTTACTTTTTCTCCCTGGGTTAAAATACGCTTTTGGTAGCATGTTTTTCTTCTCAGTAGCAAGTAATTCAGAATATCCTCTCTTTGGAGGGGACTCGTGTTCAGGTTTTCCCTGGGTGTTTGGAATACACGTGCAGATGTTGTTTCTTCCCCTTGGAATCTGTACTGTCCCAATCTAACAGGGAACACGGTTGGGAGCACACTCTGGCTGCGTCTCTTCCCTGAGGTGTTGAATCTGACAATCTAATGAAGATTTTCCTGGAACCTGAGCTTGGTCATCAGGCAATAGAAAACCAAAGTAAACACTGAGCTCAAGTAAACCCAGTTCCCTCCACCCATAAATCTGTTTTTCCAGCCTTAGATTCCCACCCTACATGACTTGCTTTAAGTAGTGCCGTACACAGAGCAGTTTTTATGCATTGGTGTACTGAAAGAGAAGCGTACCAAACTCACCTTGGGGTTTTTTGTTCTCTAGTGACACCTTCCCTGTGCAGGAGTAGTCAAAAGAGGTGTGTCCTTTTAGGACAAAAGCAAACTGGTAACTTGAGGTGAAACATGTAGAACAGGAGCTTCTCTTTCTAGTCCCATCTCTGGGGCGCAGCTCACAAGCAGCACTGCTGGAATCATCAGTGCGCGGTGTCTCCCCCCATCATGTTCATTTAAACCAACTTTTTCTGCTTCTTTGTATCTAGAGTTTTAGAATCAACACGTGGTGTCCGATCTAAGCTTGTATTTGCATACTGCAAACAATTTTGAACAGGCATCATGAGTTTTAGACATAACCTCTTTGGTAACAGACTTCGCAAGCTCTCGTGCTGTTGGTGAGCACTGTCAGCAAACAATTCCATGGGTGTTGATGGCAGTAAGGTGGTGGCAGGACTCAAAAGGCTGGCTGTAACTCAGTGCATCCACTCTACATTTCAGCTGGCTTATCTCCAGATATATCATGTTTTCCTCCCACCCCACCCAGCCCCAGGCAATTTTTTACTAACAAGGAAAAGGAAGAAAGTTGTTTTTGTTAAAGAAGATACACTTGAACTGCCTTTTTTTTTTCTTTTCTTTAACCATAGCAGAATACTGACTTTTCCTCACACCAAATGCTATTGTCAGGTTTTGTGTTTTCTAGAGTTCACTGTTGTCTTTTTAGGGTTAAAACACAGTGTGCCGGGGCTGAAATAACTTCTGATTCCTTTGACTTGCAGGCAAATACAACCCTCTAAGATTCTACTTGTCAAGTTTTACAGCTTGGCAGTTTTACATCTGCAGTGACAGCAGTAACCGCTACTGAACTGCAGCATTGTCAATCCCTGTCTTTTCAGGTGAGACAGCAGATACTTTGATGGGTCTTCGGTACTGCAAAGAGAGAGGAGCCTTAACCGTGGGAATAACTAACACAGTGGGCAGCTCTATATCACGAGAGACGGATTGTGGAGTCCATATCAATGCAGGACCAGAGATTGGAGTTGCCAGTACCAAGGTGAGTCATAAGTTTATAGATCTCACTTATTATTATTACTGAAACTCTCCCTGAAGGTGTTTGCTATAGCATGCGTCTGCTGTTAAATGCTTTCTGTTCCCTTTGTACCGATTGCTATTGATGATTGTGTAGTTAATAACCATGTGCTCAGCAACGCTCTTAATTTTCTTTTTCTTGTATCTTGCAAAGGGCTTTTTTTTTTTTTCTTTTTTTGTAAATGAGAGATTATAAGGAAGCAATATTAACCGTTGAAAACAAAGGGGTCTCAGAAGGAAGAATTCCTAAAGAGACAAAAATTCTTTCCTCTTTTCAATCATTTGTCTTAAGGTGCAGACTCGGTTTAAACTAAGGTCTAAAGATGAAAAAGGAAATTAAAAGACAAGATTATGGGAACAGCATGTAACTGCCCTCGATGGCACTGCTTTACTAAGGAAAGTGTGATAGTAAAAATATATTTTCAGCAAATGGGAGAATGGGCTTTTACAGAAAAGCAGTATTTATGGCCACCTAACAGAATTACTCTGTGGTTGATGCACCTGGTTACACATGATGCAGTATAAAATAACTTGCTTTGCTGCATTTCATTTTGATGAAGTGCTTCTGCATGGTGAAATATGCTTTGATTTAGTTATATTTAGAGGCGAGATGATGTCAATCTGTTACATAAATTCAGCCAAAAACCACATTTGAATTTAATAGTTCATTGGGGATTTTGATCATGGAAAATTTATGAGTCTCTTACAAGAAAGTCTTGAAGGAGTTGTTTGTCTCTGGGTTGTTTTCACATAGCCAACATTATAGTTTGGAGATAACTGAAAATGGCATTTTCTCTCTGGTGATGTGGGGAGTTACCAAAGTTGTGCGTATATGAAATATGAACTTGAAAAGGTTCTGCCCTAAGGTTGTCCAGAACTTAATTTTGAACATATTATAAACAACCCAAGCATTCCTAGCATGACTGTTTGGGGCTATTTACTTCTGTAACCTTCAACTGCACCAAAACAAAGTAGATCACATTCCATATCAAACTCAGATAGTCAGCAGAACTGTAGCTTTTCTAGATTCCTTCAGAGCTATTTACATCTTCTCCAATATAGCAACATGAAAGTTTGTTTGAACATTGTTTAGGAAGGGACAGCAATACTACCAACCTTCATCTTATTTCTAAGCAACTTCAGGCCCAGGCTGGCACCACAGACCATTTCATAATATTTGTTTTATAAGGACTTCAGAGGCTAGACTTTGCACTGGCTGTTTGATACATAGTAGGTGACAACCATTTGGTTACTGTCTTAACGACGGGTTTTCTCTCTCTCCCCCCCACTTATTAGGCCTATACCAGCCAGTTTGTCTCTTTGGTGATGTTTGCTCTGATGATGTGCGACGACAGAATTTCTATGCAGGAAAGGCGCAAGGAAATTATGCGTGGTCTGAAGGGACTGCCAGGTAGGGAACTGCTGCATTTATTGCATCTTGCCAAGTGAAACTCAGTAGCACAGATGAACTTCAGCAGTGCCTGAACCTGCTTTTGGAAGACCGGGGCGATCAGATATGTGCAATTAGCAGTAACTTTCGCAACCATGTTCTCTAATGTTTTCAGACCACTAAACTGGACTATTAAAACACCAAGTCCAGTTTTTGTGCAACTCGCTGATATCTGTGTATATGAAGTATAAACAATATGTAGACTTTGAGAGCACACACAACTAGATTTCTTCTCTTCCCTTTTAGACTTAATTAAAGAAGTGCTGAGCATGGATGATGAGATCCAGAAGCTAGCCACAGAGCTATACCATCAGAAGTCTGTTCTCATCATGGGCCGTGGCTACCATTATGCTACATGTCTTGAGGGAGCTTTGGTAAGTTTTCTTTATTTAAAGCTGGTTCAAACACATTTAGCTATGGACTTCACCTTTCAGCACAGGAAACTACACATGGCTATGAGTTGGTTTCAGAGCAGCTAACGGCTACAGCGTGTTGGCTGACATACTGGGTCAGATCGCTAAAACTCGCTGTAACACTGCTGAGCCTGCTACTTCAAGGCACCCAGGTCACATAACAGCCACAGGCTGCAGTGGCCTGAAGTATTTTCAGGTGGGGTGTGTTTTCCCACATTCTCACTGGGAATGCTTTACTGTGACAGACTGGGCACCCTAATAAAATCAGTTCTTTGAACTGTTGTGGTGGCATTTCCAGGAATGCTCAGCATCCAAACCTGAGCATGGACTTTCTAAAACCTGTATATTGCAGTTTTTACCTTTGGGGAGCATTAGAAGTGCTGTCACCAACTGATGTGCAAACATGTCCTCTTTGCATTTGCCTACCCAGTTCAAGACTGTGATGATAAATGTGTTGGCTGATGGCAAATCATAAGGCCTGTGGTGGGTTTGGTGTTAGAACTGTAAGTGTTGATGGCCTGCAAGCAGCTCAGCCCAGATACACTACTTCCACCTAGGTGTTCAGGCTGGCTTGTCTACATAAGGGATCTAGGAGAGCCAGAACACGTTTCTACACAGTTATAAAGTGGAAGAAGCCACAGAGATGGTTAAAAAAAATTAAAAGTTTGCCCAAAGCTTAATGAATTATTTTTTTCTTTATCTAGAAAATTAAAGAAATTACTTACATGCACTCCGAAGGGATATTGGCAGGTGAGCTGAAGCATGGCCCTCTCGCGCTGGTGGACAAACTCATGCCCGTTATCATGATCATCATGAGAGACCATACGTATGCCAAGTGCCAGAACGCTCTCCAGCAGGTCATTGCACGGCAAGTAAGTACCTGGAAAAGTTTACAGTACATCAGAAACATTGCTTTTAATAAAAATGCAGCTTACAGGGCACCCGAACCATTTGCTTTAGTCTGACTGCCTAAAATGAGAATTTGGTCGATATTCCGGGCATTTCAAGTGCAATTTTTGCAGCAGATTGCAGAAGCCTGGCGTGGTTTGTTTACCCCTTCACTTAAGCTACAGGGATGCCCATGGGATCCAAGCTGCTTTGTTCTAATTTAAGTAAAAAGTTCTTGCCACTGGTGCTCTGAACAGAAATGAGAAAAGAACCTTCCAGACCAGTTTTTCTTCAACATTTACCTCTGTTGCAGGGGCGACCTGTTGTGATTTGTGATAAGGAGGACATTGAGACAATTAAGAACAATAAGAGAACAATCAAAGTTCCCCACTCAGTGGACTGTCTGCAGGGGATCCTGAGCGTTATCCCCCTTCAGCTTCTGGCTTTCCATCTTGCAGTTCTCAGAGGATACGATGTAAGTGCAGCATTCCTTCCCTTCCTAGCCTTCTGCACCCGTGTTTGCTATCTGCAGATCTGGAAAAGATGCATTGGGTGATGTTGGAAGACTGTGGGGGTTGTCTGTATAATTGCTTGAGCTACTGGAACAGCCAGCTTAAATGGTGATTACAGAAGCTTCTCGTGAACAAAAGCTGAGGGCGGTCAGGTGCACTCAGCTGAGTCTTGTGCAGTTTGAGTTTGGACACGTGTCTGTTCTCTGGTATGAGCGTGCAGTTTCTGGAGGGCTGGTAGGAAGGTAACAATCCACAGCAGGATGTTTGTCAAACAGAGTCTGTTTGTGTTAGGTGTTTGATCTTAATACAGACACTGGCCTCTACCTTTTATCACAGTGACCTTTTATTGTTGGAGCACTGTAACCACGTAGACTGAAGGAACTAACTCCTTCATTTTTGACAGAGGACTTGTAACAATTGAGGTTTATGGACTTTTTCTGCACCAGTTATCCTGAATGAACACCAACATATGTTCAGTTGTTTTCAGTTTAAACACAGAACAATATACACAAACAAAGTATGTAAATACTCACAAGCATGTTCTTTCTCCTCCCTCTCTGCAGGTTGATTTCCCAAGAAATCTGGCCAAGTCCGTAACTGTAGAGTGAAAGATCATCTGAATCATAGGGGCAAAGGGGAATTAAATGAAAGACTTTTTTTGGTACCAAAATAACTTGATTTTAAAGTCCCCTAGGTAAATCTTATTTTGGTAAATCATTGTTTGTTTATAAGATCACCATGATTTCATTACATTAGTGACTGTCAAATTGATTCCACATGCTATGTCAATAGCTTTGTGTTTTTTTGAACAATAAGACTTCCATGAAAGATGTTAAATGGTTTTCTTTAAAGATTACTGAGTCTTCTAGGTAAGGGGCCCTCCACTTTAATTTAAGATAACGTCATTGTTTCTTATCCAGTGTGGCTCATTCCAATTGTTTCTGAGAAACCATTGACTGAATTACCTGTCATGCTCTCAGGCAGTGAAGCAGGATACCAGACCATACAACTGGAACGAGAGCTGTTACTGGTCATGCTTGTGCAGATATTTTAAGTGAACGAAGTTGTAAACAAGCATTGGGGGTCAATTTCTGCCTCATGTACAAAAGGGAATTCAGCTGACCTGTCACAGGCTCCAAAATTTTAGGCACATGGTCAATGTGCTAAGAAAATAGTGTTGCTTCAGAAGGATTTTATCTATGCCAAATACCTAGCAAGTGACAATCTCTTAGGCTCAGTGGGCTACAACGCACCGTGTAACACCAGCATAAACCTGTCGTTGTGCCCATGAAGATGGTGGAACTCGCGCCTTCGAGTGTAACTGGGAGCAGTGGCTGACTCTGGGTGGATGCTTACCAAAGTTGGGGAAAAGGGAAGAATATCACCAGTGCTCAGTTTGTGCCGGTGTTTTGTTGTTGCTGTTGGGTTTTTTTTTTTTTAACAAGTAGGAATCTTCCCACATTGAGGATTTTTCACCTTGAACTGAGCACTGTGGCACTCTAAATGCATCCTGAGGAACCAGCTTTATGCTGCTGCAGGTCATTTACTAGTCTGAACGTGCCAGAGAGACGGTGCTGAAGCTCCCTTTCTGAGGCTTACTATGTTAGCCAAAGTCCCTTAATGAAAGCATGAGTTCTGGTTTATTTAGGAGCAGTTCACATGTGACTTGTGTCAAATTCAGCTGGTGTAAAATTGGAGGGAATAAAAAAGGCTCAACAGACACGACAGAAATATATACCTTGTAATAATTTTATAACAAGATGGCAGAGAATATCAGAAATTATACAGAAAATATGCCTTCAAGACTTAACACAGACTTTTTCAAAGTCATTAAAGGGCAGTTAGCTATGTATTTTCTAGTGCAAAAAAGGTGAATTTCCTACCAGCTTGATGGGTTTTGCATTAGCTTTACACACACACCATAAAAAGAAAAACATGCTACAAGGCATAAAGCAATGCTTGCCGAGTGCTGGTGGATATTCTGCTTTAACAAATGCAGTGCTCGGGGACTGTCCACTGCCCTTGAAAACCTAGTTTGTAGATTACTATTGCTAATTAGCAGTAATCCAGGCTGACTCGTACAACAGACGATGACTGCTCAGACCAAGGTGTTTCCAAAGATTGTGTCTGTAGCAATTCTACTTTATATAAAACTGCAGTAATGATTTAACTTTGATTCACTATCAGCTCAAGGCTTAATTTTATTATGAAAATGAAATGCTGCATGCCTGGAAACAGCTTCTCAAAACCAATATATGTATGTTTATTAATACATTGTATTCAGACTGTTAATTTATGAACCCATTGTGCTGCCAGTGTCTGTTTAAGAACAAAGTAGTAAATATTGCATTTTATTTATACAGCATTTACTTACAAGGCACTGACTCATAATTATGAGTTATGTACCTCTGCCTAAACATGACCAGTAGACTTCCCTGCTTTGTTTGAAGACAATACTTGTCCTTAAGAAACATGCATGTTCAGTGCTCACAATTTGACACCAGTTCCCCTTCCCTCTCCTCTCTCTCAGCTTGTTTAAGAGAAGAGAAACTGTGCAAACCTTTCACGTGGAGGGCTGGAACCAAGGCAGGGTTCCCGCCCCCCCCCCCCCCCCCAAGCATGACAACTTGCAGTATCACAGCCTCTGTTCTTGTTAGCGCAGGATCTCACATGGAAGAACCCTGCAGGAGAATTATTTTAAAGATCTTTTTCTCCTGTTCTGCTCAGAAGAAAAGCAGCAAGCATTGCTTTTATCTGGCCTTGTAGAGGTGATTGTCCGCTAGCTTACCATGCCTCCTAGCAAACAGGATGGTAGACATCCCTGTTAAAATAGAAGTTGCTATTCTGTAAAAGTTTGGTAACGCAGGCTGTTAAATATTTATGACAGGAAGTTGTGTACAAAGAGGACCAAAGAACAGGAGTCAAAGTTAGAAATGTAAGTCTGACACTCTCATGTCAGGTGTAACTGTACAGATGTTGCTGAGCTGTTTGGTTTTATGCTGTGATAGACAAATCCTTAGTCTTTGTAATTTAAGGCATTAAAACTCATGACAGAGCCTTCACTGTCAGAAGTAAAGGCGGTATTCGCCCCCTGCGCTCTGCAAGTTGCCAGCAAACTGTCCGGAGTGTGTCAAACTCTGCCTGCCAAACAGAGCTTTAGTCGCTGCTTGCAGCTAGGCTGTCGGATGTTGAAATGCTTAATATCCAAGAATGCTGTGGAGCGCATTTGCTGTGAAGAATGTCTCTGATGAGCATGGTAGGGAATTGGTTAAGCATCTCATTGTTGTTAATTGCCATGCCTGTGCGAAGTGCGAATGTATAAAGGACTCTTCTTGGCTTTCCTTACCTCATTTTGTCTGGATGTGTTGCATTTTGATGACGTTTCTCTCTTTTCCTTAGAAAACTTTTAGAATGTCTTGTGATATTTATTAACAGCCAGTCTTCTGCTCTCCAAAATGAATGTTTTGCTTACTGAGCCAGTCAAATTCTCTCCTTCCTAACAGAGGTGTTTAAAAATTCAGTAATCCTGTCACTAAAACTGAGCCACAGGTAAATACAGCTAAAGGCCTTTGCCATTGGGAATAGCAGCTGCCTATTACTGTGTACTGGTGTCAGAATTTATTTTAAGTAACTGTTTTCCTCATCTATGTCTACAGAGGCTTAAAGGGAAGCACACGTCCAGAGGTCTTAGGGTTTTTTTTAATTACCAAAGACCAGAGAACTTCAGGGTCACCACATGATGTTTCTGCCTAATGGATCTAGGACAAATTCCACATCACTAGTAAGGTTATTCCACACGCAGTAGGAAATTAAGTTGTACCTGGAAGGAATATACTTCTGTTAGAAAGGTTTTTCCCTCCTGGCTCTACTGAAGAGAGGCTACAGACAGTTCTTTCCTGTATTTCTCAGATGAGTCCGTACTGTCTGCGTACGTATTGTTACACACCCCCCACCTCGTAAGGTGCAGCAATGACATGGCAAATGCCATCTCCTTTTAGCATGGTCTTCCTGACGAGAAGGTAATGACGTCCCACTCGCACAAGGATGCTGTTCTAGCCAGAAACCTGCCTTGACACGTGTGTTTGTGAAGTCTCAACCCCTCTGTGTTGAAAGAGCCAAAAACTTCACACAGGCCATTTCAGAGTCAAGCAGGAGGGAGCTCACGGATGTGACATGATGTGTAATCATGCTCAGGAGCCTTAAGACTAGCCTAGGCATGCTAGGTTTGGTTAAGCTGCAGATTGAAGCAGCTAAAGGCACAAGGAAGACCAACACATCAGTGCAGAATTAGGCTTTTCTCCTCTCCAGCCATCACTAGTTGTCCGTGATGCCACAAGTAGGTGCCTGGCAGCAGCACATGGGGTGGAAGGAGGGACTGAAATTCGGCACTTGACGTAGCACATCAGTGTTTAGCTGTGGCTAATTTTAGATCCTACCTGAATGTACCAAACCTGCCTCAAAGCCTGGAGTCCCTCCTCTGCAGCAGGAACAGGAAGAAGAAACAAAGAAGTATTTGGTTTGAATAAAAGGAAAGAAAACTATTTGCCTTCAATTCAGTTTATGTAAATAGACATTTGAAGTGGCAAATACCACCATTTCTTCCCTTCTACATCTGTTTGCCTCTGCCTGTACATATCCAGCTGGCTTGGGTTGTGGGGACCAGTCTGTATCTCATTTCCTGTTGTGTGCTGTATGCAGAAGATGTCTTACTTTTGTCTGTAGTGTTTTACAATTTGGGTTTTTGTCTTTTTGCTTACTTTTTTTGTATCTCACCCTTTGAATAAAATCAAGTGCCCTACATTAAACAAATGGAATTACTGGTCTTTAGTTAAATCCAAGTAAGATTAGGTAACCCCTATGGAAGTTAAGGACAAGCAAAAAAAGCACAACGTTTAACTCGCCTCTCTCCTAACCAGCTTTTTTTTCCACATCTGAGATGATAGAAAATATTTCATCTGCCCTTTCCTGTCCATGGTTTTGCCACTAACCAAGAAGAAAGCCCATGAAATACCCTTAAGGCAGAAGAGTCAGTATTACCTTCTGTGCCTTAATTCTCATTTAACTACCTCTTTTCTATCACCAGGCGAGACAAAAATCGCAGTCAGCCCAGCGCATACACGACCTGTGCTTAGTGAATATTACTCACGGTTTCTTTTTCAAGAAAGCAAGCTAGGGAACGAGCCCGGCTTTGCAAACCCGGCAGCAGAGGACTACGACACAGATGCTGAAATAGTACAATTAATTGCACATTCTTGTAACAACAGCTGGGGGCTTAGAGATTGTTCATGTCTAAAAAGTGCCTGGAGAACTTTGTAAGTGAAACCCACAATGACAAAAGAGACTGAAATTCCACCCCTCCTCCAGTTGGGGCCATTCATGGATTAATTTCCTCAGGGACATTCACCTCTCTAGGGGAAGAACATCAAACGCGATCATTTCTTTTCCTTGATTAAGTGAGCCGTTTGGACTTGCTTTTCTCACAAATACCTTTCCTATACAAGTAACAGTATTAAAAGGTCATGAGGCTACCTTTTAAAGTTTATTGCCCTGAAACAATGCATGTGTCTTTAGTATCGCAGTAACAGTCGGTGCCTACGCAGATGTTGGGAGCAAGACGGTCCACTTCTGCTTGCTCAGATCTGCAAAAATAAACAACTGGTCTAGCTTTTACGACAGTCCTAAACAAAACCGGGTCAAACAGCTCAAAGCTTTAGGCTTTCATTGTCATAGCTGTAGGTGACATCTGCTCAGGACACTAAAGGAGCAGAGAATATTGCAGTGAAGCAGCAGGGAAAGTTGGCTGCGTGCAGAATCTTCCTGACGTGACCCCAGGGCTGCAGCACCCTCGGGCTCATG